CTCTAGTCTGGGCAACAGACCCTGTCTCAGAAGACAAAACAAAATAAAACAAAGTATTCACTGGGCATTTATCTTAGGATACTCTGCGTTGTTATTTAATCCATTAGCATATGTGGTCTTCCTAATTAAATTATAAATCTCTCTGCTACAGGGATGACATCTTATGCTTCTCAGCAGATCTTATACCCTGCCCTACTGATGATAAGTACTCAATAAATGTTCGTTGATAATAGTTATGATAATGCTGACAACAACAAGAGATGAACCAAGGAAATTTCCCCTTCATCCTCGCTGGAAAAAAAAAAACTGCTCCAAATGCGTATCCTGTTGCTCAAGGCATTTCTTATGAAAGCACAATGGATAAAAAATAATAACAAACATTTGTGCTTGCTTTACAGTTTATACACATTATCTCACATGAAAGCCACTCTGATTTTCTCTGTTTTCTGGGGAAGAATATTGAGGCAAAGAAGAATTAGGCAGCTTTCTCATCATTCCATAGAGGCCCTGAAGAAGGAAGAGAAAGCAATGTTTTCATATTGGTATAGATCAGTAGGAAAAGAAAACCCATCATTAGTAGACGTCTTATTTAAAAATCAGCAAATAAATAATCATGGGGAAATAAGTTCCACACTAGGAGAAGCATATAAAAGGAGGTGTATCATTATTGTGATTCAACAAATCTTTCTTTATTTTTTGTTTGTTTGTTTGTGAGACAGGGTCTCGCTCTGTCACCTAGGCTGGAGTGCAGTGGCACAATCACAGCTCACTGGAGACTTGACCTCCTGGGTTGGAGCGATTCTCCCACCTCAGCGTCCCGAGTAGCTGAGATTACAGGCACACACCACCATGCCTAGCTAATGTTTTTTAATTTTAGTAGAGATGGGGGTCTCTCTATGTTATCCAGGCTGGTCTTGAACTCCTGACCTCAAGCAATTCTCCCATCTTGGCCTCCCACAGTACTGAAATTACAGGGATGAAGAGATTACACCTTGTGTAGGAATTACATTTTGTGTTTTAAGGGCACAGAAAACAAATTAAGACATCATGCCAAACACAGTGTTTCATGCCTGTAATCTCAGCACTTTGGGAGGCTAAGGCGGGCAGATCACCTTAAGGTCAGGAGTTCAAGATCAGCCTGGCGAACATGGTGAAACCCCATCTCCACCAAAAATACAAAAATTAGCAGGGCATGGTTGTGCACACTTGTAGTCCCACTTACTCAGAAGGCTGAGGCAGGAGAATTGCTTGAAGCCGAGACAGAAGTTGCAGTGAGCTGAGATGGCACCACTGCACTCCAGCCTGGGCAACAGAGAGAGACTCAATCTCAGAAAAAATAAATAAACAAATAAATAAAAATTAAGACATGATCCTGTCATTCATTCATTCATTCAATGGATATTTGTTAAATGCCTACTCTGTGCCAGCACTGAATGCAAATAACACTTGACTTCCAGACGAAAGACCTAGATTTAAGACTGGCTTTGTTATTTAGTAGCTGTGCGGCCTCTCTTTGCCTCATTTTCTTTGCCTGCACAGTAGCAATAATAATAAAACTGACCTCACAGGTTAGTCTAGATATGAAAAGATAAAACACAGCCCCCAGCTTGCAGGAGGCTGCAGAAACACCATGGTGACATCGGGCTCAAACCCAGACTCAACAAATAAACTTCTCAATATTTGCCACATCAGAACACGTGATTGCTATTGCTTCGGGGCTATAAAATTAGGGGTGCTAAAAAAAAATCAGAGGTGGTGAAATACAAAGTAAGATACAAAGTAGGGAAGACAATGGCACCATGTTTAGGCACAGAGAATTAGAGAGCCAAAAGGAACCTCAGGGCTGGTCCAAGGCTCTCACTTTTCTTGTAAGGAGACAGTACAAGCTTTGAAGACAAAAAGCTTTGGGTTTTCTTTTTTATTTATTTATTTATTTTGGAGACAGAGTGTAGCTCTGTTGCCCAGGCTGGAGTGCAATGGCAGTTTCGGCTCACTGCAGCCCCCGCCTCCCGGGTTCAAGTGATTCTCCTGCCTCAGCCTCCCGAGTAGCTGAGATTACAAGCATGTGCCACCACGTCTAGCTCGTTTTTGTGTTTTTAGTAAAGACGAGGTTTCACCATGTTGGCCAGGCTGGTCTTGAACTCCTGAACTCAGGTGATCCGCCCACCTCAGCCTCCCAAAGTAGAGCCTTGGGTTCTAATCCTAGCTCCCACACTTTCTAGTTGTGTGGCTTTGTGTCCAGGACAACCCCTTTAGCCTCATTATGTCATTTAATGGGAATAATCACGACTACAACACAATTGTTGTGTGGATTCAGTAAAACAGAGCATGAAAATTTGGAATGTAGTAAGCTAATAGTAAATGACATATTCTTTTTAGTATTTAGATGTTTTTGAAATATTTTTATTTTCTGGGATATTTTTATGGCCGGGAGAGGGTGGGGTGAGTTACGTGGTAGCCGAAGAGAGAAAGATTGGAGTCCGGAGTAAAGACTGGTACAGAAAGAAGGTGCCAGATCGAGTTCTGTTCCTTTTTCTGCTGGGAATTCTGACAAATCCAGGGATAAGAATGGTATAGAAACTGAGTCATAACTCTGCTATAAGATTCTGCTATATTCTATGAGAAATAGAGTCAACTTTACCAGGAGAGTATCCGTAATCTAAGCTAGTGGAGAAACTACAGCCAAGAAAAGCTGTGCTCTCCAGAGACAGGGAGCTGGTTATTGATGGAGCTGGAGTTCACGTGCACATCTTTTCGGGAGACCAAGCTTTGTACAATCCATTTATTCATTCATTCAAAAATAAATAACAGCCACCACCCCAGTGCGAGAGTCATAATCATGGGGTAATATACAAAACTCTGCTTACCAGAAATGTACAATAGCAAGCAATGACCTCAATGAAAATTACCCTAATCTAGAAACCCAAGGAGAACAAATCAGTGCTGCCTCTCCCTACTCATTATCCACTGTGGATTTCACACCCATCAGAAAAGACGCGGATGCTGGGAGAACACTGAGAAGCTAGGAGCAGCAATCTCTGCCAGCCACTTGTGACTTCCTGTTCTGTCTACTGTGCTTTGGGGAGGGACTTTCCTAGGTGGTATGCTAACCTATATTTTTCAAACAATTAGATTGTCTTCAAACCGAAACCTGCCAAAACAGAAGAAACATTTTAACAAAACCCAGTGAAAGCAGCATATACCTTTTTTTAAAAAATCCACAAATGCAAAAAGTTTTTGGTAAGCTTGAATACTCTACTACCAAATATTGCATCCAATTCTGTTGTCTGAGAAATGTTTGAGGCCACACAATAAGAACACCACATCCTAATGAGTAATGAGGGTTAGGTAACAGCAGAGATAAGCAACACCACCCGCAGATTGCGTGAAAATGCTAATACCGACTTCTTGGCCACAATGTGAAATAAAAAGAAAGAACAAAACCTCCAAATATTACTCCCAATTGTTGCAGAAAACCATGCTTGGTTTGACGTGAGTGTTGATGACACTTTTTCTAATTGCTCTTTGTTTGAAAGAGTACTTCTTTTTTCATTCACAAATCAGAGTGTTTAACAAGAACCTTAGGAAAGTTGATTGAATGAGAACGGAAACCACGGTTCGTGGATGATGGAACAAAAATTCTGGGAAAGGAAAAATCCTACAGTCCTCCTCATTCAACTGTGACACAATTTCACAATGGAAAGTTCTTCAATATGTCTAAGTTGAAACTCCCTTGCTGAGACATGACGGGGACAGCTCTTCAGGAGAGTAAGTGAAGATTGAAAGCATGGACTCCCTGAAGCAATGTTCCCCTAACTCCCCTCCTCAGAACACTGGTGACTTAAGATAATAATAATAACAATGAATTCCCTTGAACCCAAAATAAAACTTGGAAAGAAAAAAAAAGAAAGCAGAGGGATAGATGAAGATAGGAACAGAGTAAAATATGCTATTTATATAAAATATTTTTTCCCAGTCAGTAGCTTATCTTTTCATTTTCTCAGATGTCTTTTGGGGAAAAATTTTTTATTTTAGTAAAATGTTATTTTCTTTTATGGTTGATGTCTTTGCATTCTATTTAATAAACCTTTGCCTTTAACCCCCCCTCAAAAAACAATAATCGTAATGAGTTTGTGGGGGAAGGATTAACTATAATTAAATGAATTATAATTAAAAGAGTTAAGTAAATACTATATTCCCACCTTAAAAGTTTGAAATGTACTATTAGCATACTAAAATTTTTCAGAAGTCCAGTAGTAATGATATCCACATGGCCTCGTTTATAAGCAGGGTCCTTCCCCCACCCCCATCCCCAGACATTTGTTGTTAGTTCTTGGACTTTCACCGCAAAATGCACATTGGGAGATGTTGCTTAAATCCCCAAGCCAATATCTTTATTTTATGATTAAGGAACTTAGAAAGACTGTAACTTGCAAATGTTTTGTATGGAAAAGTTATCAACCCCTCCTGAACAAAAATGTCAACTTTTTTTGTGCTTTGAAATCGCAGGTCAATTCCCTTTTGCAGGGAAGAAGTCTCCCATTTTGTGCACTTGTCCCTAAAACACAGGAGCTGCTTAAAAATAATTCGCCTACACTGGAAGCCTGTGATCCCAGCTTAAACCTAGGCCCATCTCAGGTCACCCCCTTCAATCAGCCAGCGCCTGATTGTGTAAGCTGGTGTGTGATTCCACCATTTACATACACTGGGTAGGTGTGAAGAGGCCTGGCACACAGCCATGTCAAGGCTAAAAGGAGCTGAGAGATCATCAGCCCTGATGCCTTCACTTTGCAGCAATAAGGGAACTGTGGCCTCAAGAGGGAAGTTGGCATCCCCTAAAAGACAGTTCATTCAAAGCCAAGCCAAGACTTACCCGAATCTCTCCTGACTGCCTCTCCCCCCATCCTCCGCATTCACCTTCCCCAGGGTTACGCAAACCTGCTCCCTGACCTGCAGACTAGAAAACCGGACTCGGCGGCAGAAGCACTTGCTTACCTAAGAGTATGCAGGACGCAATTTACTGTGAATGCTGAGTTGCTTTATTCTAAGTGCAAAGGTGAAATGATTTCCACTCCTAACAGTTCTGGAAGAATAATGGGAGCATGGAGAAACACTGTCTTCACCGATGCCCCAACTCAGGCTTCTCTGTACGGATCCATCGACTTCCAGGTAACTCTCCTGCAATGTGCATAAGGTTAAGGATTTAGCTAGAAATGAAAAGGATGTCATTTAAAAGCAAAAGGTAATTGAATAGGGCAAGCTATGAAGAATTCAATACAAATGTCCTAGGAGCTTCCAGCTCTCTCTGTACGTGGCGGTAGATGTTAGCATTGAAATTTGATTTTGTTTCCACTTTGGGTTTTTATTTTATATCCATCACTTGACAAGGATTAGCTCCTTCTCCTCATTCACCTCCCCGGGAGCATTTAAATAATACTTTGTTCTTGAAAATGAGCATTTTTACTTTTAGCTATTGATTTCAGAGTTCTGTGAACTTTCCCTTGAAGTCATTTCCTCAGACCCCACTACAAGCTCAGGGACTCTCATCTCTATTCCACATAGGGTCACATTTCAACAGATCTTCTACCCTCCTGGTCCTCCTGGTGCCTGACCCCCAGGAAATAAAGAGCATGTTGCATTGAGATAGCCATTATGTATCTCCACTCACCAGAAACACCATCGCCAGGTGGCAGGGGTACAGGATGACAAGAAAACAATCCCATCTTTCATTTCCCAGCTTCTGTCACCCTCACCCTCTAACCTGAAAACGGACCAGAAAAATCCAGTGAGAAAAGGTTTGAGAGCCTCTGTACCAAGGTGACGAGGAACCCCAAAGTCCCACTGTTGCCTGCCTGGAGAGAAAGGGTTCGAGTGAAAGAGAATAAATCGTATTCACCAAGCAAATCATTCATCTTGACTGTTTAGGGCAATTCCCTTTTGATATTTTTGTTTTCTCTAAGCTTGGCCTAGCCTTTAGAAAAAAAAAAAGAACTGTCATTTCTATTCAATTAACTGCTTCCCCTTCTGACTTTAAATCAAGGGCAATGTCTGTCCAATTTAATTACTTTCCAAGGAGCCTGTATGGTAAAGCAGCCACCACGAACGCAAAAGAGCCATATGGTGCTTTACAAGGCAAGAATTCGATATAATTTAAGGTTATTCTCCTAACAGAAAATGCAATAAAGCTGATTCCCCCCTGCTGTTCTTCTAGCCACTTGACATATAATATGTTTGTAGGTCAAGATTTCAGCCGAACAATTCAAAGCAAGTAAAATGAGGAGAGTGTCATTTACCTATGGAAGGTTTACAGAAGGGAATCACTGAAGGCCTTGCTGTCCCAACTGTTCTGATTCTGCGTAAAAAGTGACCTTTTTATTTAAGGAGGGTGCTTATTTTTATTATGTACATGCGCAAAATTTTCAGATGTAATGGCATTAATAATTGCTTCACTTTTACACTATTGGTGGGAATGTAAATTAGTTTAACCATTGTGGAAGACGATGTGGTGATTCCTCAAAGATCTAGAACCAGAAATACCATTTGATCCAGCAATCCCATTACTGGATATATACCCAAAGGAATAGAAATCACTCTATTACAAAGACACATGCATGCATATGTATCTTTATGCGGATATTCACAATAGGAAAGACATGGAATCAACCCAAATGCCCATCAACAACAGACTGGATAAAGAAAATGGGGCACATATACACCATGGAATACTATGCGGTCATAAAAAGGAATAAGATCATATCCTTTGTAGGGACATAGATAAAGCTGGAAGCCAGTATCCTCAGCAAACTAACACAAGAACAGAAAACCAAACACCGCATGTTCTCACCTATAAGTGGGAGCTGAACAATGAGAACACATGGGCACAGGGAGGGGAACAACACACATTGGGGCCTATCTGGGGGTGGGGTGGGAAGGGAGAGCATTAGGAAAAATAACTAATGCATGCCGGGCTTAATACCTATGTGATGGGTTGATAGGTACAGCAAACCACCATGGCACACGTTTACCCATGTAACAAACCTGCACATCCTACACATGTACCCTAGAACTTAAAATAAAAAATGTTTAAAAGACTGGGGACCCAAATATCACTTTAAGTAATAAACAGAATATCTTTTGGTTTAAAAAAGAATTGCTTCAACATTACAAAACAAGATTAGACCAAAATTTTGATGGTGAAGGGGAAAAATTGCAGAAATACAGCATGGCCAGAACACCAACACCCTAATTCTAAGCTTGACTTGGACACCAGTGAGCTGTGGAACACTGAGGAAGCGACTTTGCTTCTCTGTGTCTGTGTTACCATCTGTGAAAAGAGGGACCTCCATTAAATCAACACCAGGACCGTGTCTGTAACATTCATTAAGACTATTGGATGGCAGCACGGCACCTACCAACTGCCAGTTACAGTCCAAACTGAAGCACTCCCCTCTCCCCAGCAGAAAAGTCAGCATGAGGACAGCTTCAAGCAATGACATAAACCTAGAGTATCCACAAAGACATAACTTAGAGTGAAGCCACCTGAGACGGAGTTGCTTTTTTTTTTTTTTTTTTTTTTTTTTTTTGACGGAGTTTCACTCTGTGGCCAGGCTCTGGGCTGTAGTGGCATGATCTCAGCTTACTGCAACTTCCGACTCCCCAGTTCAAGTGATTCTCCCGCCTCAGCCTCCCAAGTAGCTGGGATTACAGGCACATACCACCATGCCCAGCTGATCTTTGTATTTTTAGTAGAAACGGGTTTTCACCATGTTGGCCAGGATGGTCTCAATCTCCTGACCTCGTGATCCACCTGCCTCAGCCTCCCAAAGGGCTGGGATTACAGGCATGAACCACCGCACCTGGTTGGAGTTGCTTTTTTTAATTAATGGCATCATAGGGTCCAGAAAAGTGTGGTCAAAAGATGAAACGGAATGTTAAAGCATAAGGAATTGCACTTTTAACATGTTAATTTACATGGTGTAATCGGATATGCTGGGATTCAATATATTCTGTCCCTGGGTAAATTTTTTCATTTATGTACACTGTACATAATACGAAATTTGTATTACATAATTTGTAACAAGGTACATAATTTCACTCAAGTTATCTATAGTCTTATGTAGACTCCCCACTTTGGTCTGTCTACATTAGATAGCTACTTAAGAGTATAGGTAGCAAGTGAGAATCAAAGAAATGTACCACGTTTTTAGTAGAAAATTCCCCTTGCAGTATACCAGCCAAAAATGATGGATTATCCAGTAAATCAAAAATTAATTAGATAGTCTCAAATGACTCAGTAGGTCTTTCCCATATCTTCGTATCTTCATATACATTCACCCCGAATAAAAATGTCATCCTTGTATTCAAATGATAATGATGTGTTTTGCGAGTTCAACACAAAAGTGATCCGCTACTCAGATGTAAAATCCCAAGAGAGATTATGCTCTTTAGGCTTAGATTAAGATTGAATTAATTAAAATCTTAGGCATGTTCTGTGTAATAATACACACATTTAATGTAAATGATTCAAGGCGACCTTAATCTATGGATTATTAGTCTTCCCAGATCTGGAGTTCTGTCCATTATTTTTTCTTCATGTTGGTATATGATTGTATGAATTTGATGCAAAGGCTGGGTAAACCATGCTCATGCCCATTTTCTGTGTGGCTCTGTTCTTAGCTCTCATTAGCCTTTGTTGGCCAGGCACTGTGGCTCACACCTATAATCCCAGCACTTCAGGAGACAAAAGTGGGTGGATTGCTTGAGCCCAGGAGTTCGAGACCAGCCTGGGTAACACAATGAGACTCTGTCTCTACAAAATGAAGACAAACTAGCCAGGCATCATGGTGCACATCTGTAGTTCTAGCTACTCAGGAGGCTGAGGTGGGAGGATCACTTGAGTCCAGGAAGTCGAGGCTGCAGTGAGCCATGATTGCACCACTGCACTCCAGACTGCGGGGGAAAAAAGCCTTGGTTTAACTCATTGAATGAAGATGAAGTAAGGGGCATGAGATAGAGAGAAATCTTTGTAAAATGAATCAGTTGGGCTGGGCGAGGTGGCCCATGCCTGTAATCCCAGCACTTTGGGAGGCCAAGGCGGGTGGAACACCAGAGGTCAGGAGTTCAAGACTAGCATGGCCAACATGGCGAAACCCCATCTCTACTAAAAGTACAAAAATTAGCCAGGTGTGGTGCCAGGCGCCTGTAATCACAGCTACTCAGGTGGCTGAGGCAGGAAAATTACTTGAACCCGGGAGATGGAGGCTGCAGTGAGCTGAGATCGCGCCACTGCACTCCAGCCTGGATGACAAAAGCGAGACTCCATCTCAAAAAGAAAAAAAAAAAGAAATCAGTCGATAGTACAGCCTTCCAACAGAACCAGTAAATAATTTAAGACACTATCCAAACACCTCCTCAAAAAGATATTCTACTACCTACTCTAATTTTAAACAATTTTGATAATATAAAACAAAGTAGCAAATTTGAGTCTTTGCTGTTGTTACTAGAAATAGGGTCTTGCTCTGTTGCCCAGGCTGGAGTACAGTGGCACCATCATAGCTCATACAGCCTCAAATTCTTTGGCTTAAGAGAGCCTCCCACTTCAGCCTCCAAAGTAATTGGGACTGCAGGCTCACACAACCATACCTAACTAAATTATTTTTACTTTTTATAGAGACAGGGTCTCAATATATTGCCCAGGCTGGTCTTAAACTCCTGGGCTCAAACAATCCTCCCCACTTGGCCTCTCAAAGTCCTTGGATCACAAGTGTGAGCCACCTCACCTGGCCAAATTTGAGTCTTTTATACAGTTATTGCCCATGAATGGCAGATAACTGTAATTTTTGTGTATGTGATTGCTCTAAATTCACAACATGTATTTAGGCTCTGTAAATCAAATATGGATTTTCTCTTTACCTAAATGCATCAACCAAATGCCAGTGGAAAATATCAACCAATCAATTAATCAAAAAAGTGTCTTATCAGTGCTGCTCTGGGCACTACCATATTTGGTCCATATCCAAGCAGGTTTATTATATATTTGAAGACATAGGACTAAAATACTTTTTAAATTATACATATTCTACTCATAATGATATGCACCTATGACACACAGTGCAAGAGTTTAGAAGGGAAAAAGAATAAGTGCATGTGAAAAGAGATCTCATGATGTGTGTTCATGCCATGGAAACTTTTTATTGTATATTTAATAGTTGTATGTTTTCACAGTTCTCACTTGTAGTCTTTTCAGTAATGACTTCTCAGCTATGTGTTCTAAGTTCTTTAAGCTGCGCAATTAGTTACTTTGCAATGAAGACACCACCTTCACTGGACTAATGAATAGCCACAGAGAGTAAGGATATAGCTGAGTAAGACCTTTCTTTAGAGGGTAAGGCTGTACAATAAAAGAGCTTACTCTTTCAAGTATCAAATTTCCCAAATCATAACATCTTTTATTTATTTCCTATGCTATCCCTTCCTACTTTTATAAGATTTACCTAACAAAGTTAATGTTTGCAATGAGAGAGTCTGGTTTAATTAGACTGTGCTTCCAGGTAAGATGCAGTAGGAAACAAAAGAACACTGTTCCAGCTGCAACAACTTTCAGAAGCCAGATAAATCACTAAAGCCATATTGTCCAAGACATCAGAAAGCTGTGAAAGCAAAGGGGACTAAATGAACCCAACCCAAGACAGAAGAGCCCTTCCAAGTTCAGTGGGCAGTCACTGGCTGTTTTCTACCCTGTTAATGGTTGCCTATTCTGAG